GAAACTGCAAGGAAGCCACTCATTAATAATCCACGTTGACGAAGCTCTTCATGCTTTAAAAAATACTTTTGTGTAGGCGAAGGAAACAAATTATAAACCTAGACAAAAAACTGCAGCAACTGCTCATGTTAATCACCGGAAAACGAGTGTGGTACTTTTTGACTCATGGCATGACTGATAAAAGACGTGACGAGCGATGTTCGACAGATGACGGTTCAGGAATCAGAGAAATCCGTCGTGACTGACTTGTTGTCATGACTGACTGACTGATATCCGTCGTGGCTGACTTGTTGTTAAACGTACCACAGGATATCCGTCGTGACTGACTTGTTGATATCCGTCGTGACTGACTTGTTGATGATATCCGTCGTGACTGACTTGTTGTTAAACGTACCACAGGAAATCCTATGCCACAAGAAATTGTCCCATTGAAAATATGATTAAACTGATAATCGATTGACCATTTCAGCAGGCCATGACTCCATGGTATTTGAGCACCTGCAGTTCCAGACTCATCTCGCAATATCTTGCATCGCTGAAATCAATTCTTGTTCTTGTTCGTCAAGAACGTCATTTCAGGAGCATATTCTCATCACATGCTGCTCGATAAACATCGCCGGTTGTTCATTATCTGATATGGTCAGGGGGTACCGACAGTTCATTATGTTTATGTAGCTGCATATGATTCGTACAACATCCACAGACATCATTGATGATGAGCGGGAGGTGGTTATAACGGGCAAAATGAAGCCATATATGCATTTTTAGCACTGCATGTGTTCAAATGCCATATAGCCGTGACGTGTTTAAATCGCCCTGTAGGCAGCTTGATGAATGGGAGCGGTACGGTATGCTGTGAAATGTGACCTTCGAGGATTCATTTGCTATTTGATTTACTCTGGCACACGACCACAGTACGATGTTCAAGCGGCAGGCATCTTATACCAGCTTCTAAAAATTCGTTGATGTGATCGTGAGGGGGCTATAAGGGACAAAATGATGAGAAATGCATCTGACAGTGCATTTAGTCAAATACCATGGGGTCGTTGCCCGTTTAAATGCCTCATTATTACAGACTTCTTATCTTGAACATTCAGAAAGTGAATTCATGAATATTCGTTAATTTCATTCAGTGGAGATTCCAAGTTAATTGTGCATAATTGTACCAGCGTAGGAGGTTGAGCCTCAACATCAAATTCAACATGCTAGTAATTTCGCTCAAGAGTCGTCATTCGATAAACAAATAGCATATCTTGTGCTGTGAGGATTTTTGTACCTGATTGTGCTGACATGTATGGATCTCGTCGACAGAATGCTGAGGTTGAGAGTGATCTCGAAATTGTGTGGATTTTTATAGAAGATATGCAAGCCGTAAAAATTCGCCTCAATGTTATGGGTTTACTAGCAAATTGCTTCGATACAGGCGATAACAATAAGCATGTCCTGTCACTTCTCCGGATTCACACAGATTCATTCATGGGCGCACTGTGTTGCAGGTTTCAGTAGCCCAGTGCACCATACAATCAGGCATAGTCGAGTTAACTTCAGTAGTTATCGATACGCTTCTTGAGTAAGGTACTGTTTCGTTCATACCGAAAAACAAACAATCCTGTTTCCTAAAGGGCTCTGCCTTTGATGTAGCCGCTTCTCACTTCCTGAGTGTAGAAATTTTCAGCCAGTGATCTTTAAAATTGGCGGTTCAAAGTGATACCGAGTTTACTGGAACAGCTACCGTATAACTTTATTGATTACCATGTAGAACAGGCAGCT